ATAATCTGAGAAGAACAACCAAAACATTTGAGTGCCCCTCTCCATAGCATGGAATCGGCAATGAAATAAAATCATTCCAATGAACTACAAAAAACTAAATCCAATTCATGCAAATGACCCTTCGAGGCTGCTCATAAGAAGCGAAGTAGAATGCAATGGATGAAGAACTTGGTTTTCTTTTCGTATTGAGTGAGCAGAGAGGCAAGATGTGCGCAATTATAGGAAAAATCCCGATCTTTTCTCGATTTAAGAACAGCAGCGCGATGTTTGCGCTCTAATCGCTATTGGAAGCGCGAATCACCAACGATTGGCAAAATGCCAGGAGCGCCGCAGTCGACACGCCTTGCGCGGACGCTGTACGAATAGTTGCGACCGCGTGTAACCTCAATCAGGCTGTTTGGCTGGGCAAGGGTCACTTCGCAGTTCGAGTTGAATCAAGACATTCTTGAGACCTGTAGACCAGTTTCAAGAGTAATGAATCCCCTGCTACTGTATAGCATGACAGAGATGTAGAGCTCGTTCATAAATCGCGATCACGGCCCAATTGAAATCTGGCTGTCAGAAATTCCGCGATGCCTGTGAACACCCCGTCGCAAGTCGGCGCGATCGTGAAGTATGAACGCGCTTTCGGCAATGCGTCCATGAGAGCATTCGGCAAGAATAGATGGTACTAAGGATCCACCCTCATCCAATGAGGAATTGCGCCTCATTACCGCGTGTTTATTTTCATTCAGATGACAAATAAATGAAACGTATTTCTAACGAGAGAAAAGCGACTGTGCATTAAGAAGTCCATCACCGCCGAAAGCAAGGGAATTTGAAATCAATGTTTTTACCTGTTGCAACTTAAGTGCAGGATGAAAAAGAATCTTGTGGTCCACATGGTTATTTTCCTCAGCAACCTCGTGATCATTCTTGCTCACTTTCCTGCCACGTTGCTTTGCAATAGTCGGGCTCCTTGATCGCTTTGGTTCATTCTAGAAAATGCAAAACCGCCTCGTCGGTAAGGCCGCGTTCATACCGTGCGACGTCGACGTCAACGTCGACGAAAGCTGCGTAAGCTGCGTAAGTTGCGTAAGCTGCGACTGGTTCGTGAATAATACATACGTATCGATCACCGAAAAAGCTGCGTAAGTTGCGTAAGCTGCGTAAGTTGCGTAAGCTGCGTAAGTTGCGTAACCGACGACAGCTAACCGATCGATACGTATCTATTCTTCTCGAAGTTGTCGTCGGTTACGCAACTTACGCAGCTTACGCAACTTACGCAGCTTACTCAAGCTTACGTCAGCTACGTACGCAACTTACGCAACTTAACTAGTCGTTCTTGGATCAGATACTATGTGTTCTTTCAGTCGCCAACTTACCGCACTACCCAACTTACGCAAAAAGAAGTCGCACGGTATGACACCGTCCTAAGACCTCAACGAAAAACGCCGATCTTTCACTCATTAACAATAATTACAGAACAGCACACAACATGCAAAGTCCTGCACCACACTGGCTATATAAAGTAAAATAAAGAACAAATTTTTTACTTTGCATGACAAGAGACCATGCAAAGATCAACAGAACCAACATCATTCTGTCATCAAGAACACTATTAAAGCAAGCAACCATATCTGTTTTAAGGCTCAAAAAGTGAGACTGCGTTCATACTCGACGTAAGGTAAACAACAAGCAGTACTCTTCCTCAGCATCCACCAGTGATCACTTAGCGGAACATTGAACTTGAATCATAGTGGGAGACGCATGCGCGATGCTGGCCCACGCTTGATCGCTAATGATTGACAGTGCAGTAACGTATCAGAACTAATGACATCATCATTGGTTGGCGGATTTTAGTCGAGCCTGTACGACCCCCCCCCCCCTTTGTTTTTATTTCGGCTTGTGACGGCGCCCCCCCCCCCCTCGCTGGCCCTCTGCCCCTCCACATCGAATCGAAGCGTCGAGCGAGGGGTTGGGGCAGTGGGCGCCCCTTCTACCAATTTTTAAATTCTCCCCAATTTCCTACCACGTTTTCAGTTTTTTTTCCAAAATTTCCGGAAAAGTTCCCTGCTTTTGCTGTCGAGCGGAGGAGGGAGGTGGGGGGCATATATTAGGTTGTTCGGAAAGAAATGCGCGTTGAATTTGTCCATTTATTTCTCTCCTACTATAGAAGATTTTTCAAAACAGTTTTGTCTATTAGAAAGAGATTTTTATTGTGCATTCTTTTGATATATTTTTGTCTATGTCTACTTTGTTTTTTGAAAAAAGTTGGGAAGAGTGGGTGCCGCACCAGCTGAGCGACGCAAACAAGGCAACACGAGTGGCAATGGCCGGAATTCTTCTTCGTCGCTCCAAGAACAGCGGTTTCTTCGACTCTATTGTTACATCAGATGAGACATGGATCTGCTTTGACAATGCAACGCGAAAAAGACAGTGGTTAGACGCTCCAAAACCGACTCCGAAACCGGATATACACGGCAAAAAGGTGATGCTCTGTGTTTGGTGGAACAGCAAAGGTTTGGTGTACTTTGAAGTACTGGATTCGGGTCAAACAGTTACGGCGGACATCTACAAAGATCAATTGAACCGCGTGGATCAAGCACTGCGTCGTCAAGGTGTCGAAACGACGTCGACAAAATTCCTCCACGACAACGCTCGTCCACATGTCGCGAAAATCACTTTGGAAAAAAAATTGAGGAATTGGGCTGGGAAGTCCTGCCTCATCCGCCATACAGCCCAGACCTGGCACCATCCGATTACCATCTGTTCCGGTCGATGCAGCACTCCCTGGCCGAGAGAAAGTTCACAAACCGCGAAGAAGTCCAACTCTGGGTGTCCAACTACTTTGAGTCGCAGCCGGCCGAGTTCTTCGAAAGAGGAATCCATTCTTTGCATAAACGTTGGCAACAAGTCATTGATAGTAATGGAGATTATCTTTTGAATTGATCTTGTTTAATTTCGTTTTTATAATAAAAAATTTTTTAGACTCAAACGCGCATTTCTTTCCGAACAACCTAATAGTACAACCAAATACGACCAACCCGCCCCCCTCCCCTTTACAACGTCCGTGAAGCGAGAAAAATCAACTATCAAAATAAATTTTTCCCAGCCCAAATACGACCCCCTCTCCTGGCGGCCAAATACGACCCCCCTATTGGGGATTCCCCAACAACGATGTGCCCTGGTGTCAACGGATACTTCCACAACTACATAAAGACACACAGAGCGAAGATTAGTGAAAACTGACATGTGCAAGGTGAAAAGCTTGAATGATGTACCCTCATTCCTTCTCTTAAATGAAATGAATCTGCTTTTCTTAGGACGAAAAGAATTCCGCTCTTATCAAATTGGGAATCTTATTGTCGCACAGAATGGTCACTGATTTCACTTCACTGACCATTTACAGATCACTAAAATATTGATCAAATTTAATCAGTCCATAAATCATGTTTTTGACGGCCTACTTTTTATCGTTTTAGATGTGGTACCAACCAGTTTTCTTCCAACTAGTTCTTCCAGGCATAAAAACGATACTGTCGGTCATCATGTGTAGCCAAATTACGTGCAAAAAGCATGGTTTCGGTTTCGATCTAACGATTTGCGGTCGTAAGCTATCCACCAACAGGGACAGGGCATCTGGTTAGGGATCCCAAGAGCAGCTGGCTGAAGAGAAGGAATTGTATTCCAAGGGGTCTTAACAGAGTTCTTTGAGGTTTGAACTGTTTGTTAAAACTAAAAGCGGACTCATCCGACAGGAGAGTACTCACGGTGGTACTCTGACAATTGAACAAGTAGCTCACAACGAAGCCCTGGGCCACTGCATCAACTCCACCCAAAAATTGGAGGATACGTCAATATCAACGAATAAGGCTATCTCAAGAAAAGTACTGCTCTTCAAAAAAATCTAAGGTCCAGGGACAGTTCGATTAAATAAACATAAACAAAACAAATAAACATAAAGTAAACTCTAATCCCCGCTGTACGAAATGTGTACTAGTAATTTCACTCGCTTAAAAAATGAACGAGATGTAAATAATAAGAGTACCAAGGCCAAAAATAAATAAAAGCAATAACACAACTTGTAACGGGGCTAACCTTTGCGTTGACCTAGTAAAGACCTGCTCACGACAGCTACAGCCGCATATTTGAAATTTCGCATTCGCGGGCGAACGAAGAGCGTACGGACAACTCGTCCTCTTAAGCAGGGCGGACGGGTTGTGGTGGGCCGTGGGCTAGTTTTCCGCGCAATCACCGCACTGGGCTGTTTTCCAGCACCATCATCGTAACGGGAGGAATAATGGTGGTCACGGCTACACCCCCTACAAATTTCCTCAGGCACGATTCTTTCTCAAAGCCTGTCTACCATTCCAAATTTTCCTAACTCTCTACATCCTCAGAACTTTCAAATTTTCTCAAAAATAGGCGTCGACAAGGGGTTAAGAAACACCGCTAAAACGGGAAAAATCACCAATCGAGCATCTTTTCTCGCAGGGAGAAATTTCTCCATAGATTAAGTGCGGCCTCTTTCCTCCCGAACAACCATGTACGACTCCTGATGGAATCCTCCCAACGTAAAAGTATAGTCTGTAACATCGCAAACATACGGGTTTTTACAGAGATCGAATGAGAACACTCGCATTGAATGCAGTCCAGTTAGTTTCGGAAGACAAAATGCTTCAGGACAACGACATTGCAACGCTCGCCTTCAGAGCGAAATCTGAGGATTGGTAACTGTTCCTAGTCTTCAGCACCTCCTCAGGAATATTCACCACTTGTTTCACTGCTTTGACGCCAGCTTTAGGTAGCCAGGGGCAGGTGATCTCTTGCCCCACAGCACCACCACAGAGATACTCACTTCTCAATGCTGCGGTTATCGCGCTCTAATCCCGTTCACGCGAGTCCCTTTAATTTGGTGATGTGTCGATGAAAAATGAGATCCGATAATTTAAACTTCGGTTTTCTCTTTCCTTTTTGAAGACAATTCTACTTTATGATGGGGTCGGATAGAGGACAATATGTACTTCCAGATGACCTCAGAAGGAGGCTTGCGGCAATGCTTGACCGATTTGTCTCGAGCCGACACTAGTGGTGACTATCAGAAAGCCTTACAAGCAGCTAATCGAAGTGAGATTTTTGTTCTCAGCTATTTTCATTTCAAAATTAACGTCTAGGCTTTCTAAGTTTCTAAATTTGTGCTTTCTAGTCATACGTCGTTACCCGAAAGAACTATATGCTTTCAAATGTAAACTGGTATGCCTTATCCAACTGGGCATGTACGACGATGCTCTTACATTGCTTAAAAAGACTCCTCCAAATCAAATGGGGTAAGAATAATCCATTGCTTAGTGCATATTTCCGTGAAATCAGCTCTTTCTTTTGTTAGGGAATGTGCCTTCGAAAAAGCATACATTCTTTATCGCCTCGAAAGGAACGATGAAGCTTTGGAAGCACTGGCAGCTTGTGATCCGAAAGACCATCGCGCTCTCGAATTGAAAGCACAACTCTGCTATCGTCTTGATCAATTCCAGGTTCCTCAGTACACTTCATTACTTATTTAGTTTTTTGGAGCCGGTTGCAACGTATTTGGGAGGTAAATTGGGGCATTGCGCAATAATTCGCAGTATGTGTTAGGGTTGTACCTATAGCCAGGGCCGAGATGGAGGGAAACGAGTCGGAGAATCCGTGAAAACAATAGGCACAAAACGACTCTTCACCGGGTGCCGTTTGCGGGACGCTGAGATCAGTCATTTTCTTCAAGTCGTTCTCCGCTTGTTTCGCATCGCCACAGTGTAAGGGGCCGGGCTGCGTCTTTATAGTTTGGGCAGCGTCCGCCAGACACTAGAAAGTGTTAGACATCAATCTAGCGTAGCATCGCGATCGCATCCATCGAGCGTCCAGGATTTCAGAGGCTGGGGATAAGTCTGCGTTTATACTTTGCGGCAGCGTAGCGTAGCGCTTCCAGCGTACGCCAGCGGCAGTGCACGCCAGCGTTTCTCCAGCGTTTCACCAGCGTTTTGCTAGCGTTTGCAGCGGCAGGGGAGTAGAGACTATGGGAGAGCTGGAGGGTACAAAACACATCGATTGCGCGTCTCTCACTCGCCCTTAGTCTCTACAATACACATCGATTCCGCGTCTCTGACGGCCACATAGTCTCTACCATAATAACCATCCATTGCGCGTCTCTTACGGCCACATAGTCTCTACTTCCCTGCCGCTGCAAACGCCAGCAACGCTGGTGAAACGCTGGAGAAACGCTGGCGTACGCTAGCGTTACGCTGGTGACGCTGGGAGCGCTAGATCGATATCCATCCTCTCCCCGGCACTGCCGCTGGCGTACGCTGGAAGCGCTACGCTACGCTGCCGCAAAGTATAAACGCAGCCAAAAGGGAGGAAGCAGACTGCTGCATTAGGCGCCGTGAAGTTGCGGCGTGTGCAACCGCACCGTACATCTGAACAATACTGTACTTTAAGTTGCATACTTTGGGATAATGCCGTTTGGACTCCAGCAATTTCGGCAGCTGAGCTCATTTTTAAATTGCCTAAGTCACTAAACCCAAAACAACAAAAACATGAAAACATGAAAACATGTACACAAGGGTTATTTACCATCGTGATTACAATGATGACACTCATTCTTGCGCTTGCGCCAAGGGAATAATGACACTACGATTACCTCTTGGGCTCAGCCTTAGCGGAGCGCAGATAATCGTAGTGTCATCCATTAGCCAGCGGCAAGACTGAATGTCATATTCGTAATCAGGATGTTGAACTACCTCTGTATACAATGTTTGTTTAGCGAGTGGGGGGATTGGGCTGACTTATGGCCTAATTTTATAAGAATGAGCTCGATGCCGAAATTGCTGGGGTCCAAACGGCATAAGCCCATAATTTGTGCTTTTAGCTTACACGGTGCGGGCTCACGACGTAATTTCGCGACTTCTAATCCAGCTGTCTGTTTCCTCCTACTTCGCCATACTCCACTAGTAGTCTGGTACCCTCCTATTTCCCCCAAACTCAACTTCGGATCGCTGGTGAACGCTGATGGGCGCTGGCCTTCGCTAGATCTATATCTATACTTTCGTAGTCGCTGGTCGGCGCTAGTGTTCGCTGCTGCAAAATATGAACTCTGAAAGCAATGCCGCTTCGCTTCTCGCTGTCAACCCACATCATTTGTTCGTGGCAACAGTGCTGAGTAGGCGCGCAGTGGAAAATGTTATGTGCGTTCATGTTAACCCAATCCCGAATTTTACGCACTTTTTTTTGGGTGCCGTGTACTGCTGTTTGAATTTATAGTTAGGAGGCGTTGGCTTGCTGACCCGTGTTGGACCAGCGCAAAAATAGGTTCTGATTCGCACTTTGCCCGCCTACAATCGTCTACATTGCTTGATTCCTCAAGATTTGCACATCACGCGCTAACCTTTTCTTACTCTTTCCTTCCTGTACCCTTTTTTGGGCAACCTGCCTTTTCTCTGACTCGTGAATAAGCACCTTCATGGGAATTCAGTACCACGGTCCATGTTTAGGAGTTCACATTTAGAAAACGTGATAAATGAAGTTCTGTGGTTTTACAGGAAGCGCTCGACATTTTCCGTGACTTATTGCGGAATCATTCGGACAGTTATGATGATGAACGTAAAGCAAACTATCTTGCAGTACAAGCCCAGCTGGAATCGATGGGCCTCAAACAGGTTTCTTATATTGGTTACATTCGAGAGTTGGAATATCCTATGGCTTTCCTCATCCTTTTTCTTTCGTTTGTGGAGTTTTAGTTTTTTCTAAATTCTGATAAATTTGTATAAGTTTTTTCGTGTTCAGCAAACTGCAAGTGATAGTGAAACATTCGAGCAAATGTACAATACTGCATGTCAGCTCATCGAGGCGGGTAATTATGAGACGGCGCTAACAATGCTCGACAAAGCAATTAGTATGTAATCCTTCATTTATGAATCTTTCAAAACTTCTCATATTTTTTCCAAATTTATTCGTTCAGTATGAAATGTCTCGCCCATTATAGGCTCTTGCCGAAACACTCTGAGCGAGGAGGGCTTGGACGAAGAAGAGATAGAAGATGAGCTAGCGATGCTCCGTGTTCAGCGCGCCTTTGTCTTGCATAAACTGGGAAGAAAGCAAGAGGCTATCGATATATACAGGGCACTCCAAGCTGCTGGGTATGTTAGTCTGACTTCAGACCCTGCAAAAATGTGGGCTTTACAAAGATCATGTATCGCAAGGCTTTTTGGTCCCAGTTTTTTTATTCTCTCATTGTGTGATGTCGATAGTAAAGCGAATACAGACCGACTTCCGGGTTTTGGGCAGAGAGCGGCGGTACGGCTGTATGGTGTTATACCAACAGTGAAGTGGAGAAAATTTGTTTCGGTGGGATTTAACTCCTCTCTGGTACCTATTTATTTATTCCATGTGCCCGGAGTACCGATGTCAGGGGCGTCCTGTAACCCCCACCCCGCCCCAGTTTGCAAATCAACCTTTCTGGGCTGCTTCGGAACCGAGTTATGAATTTTTATGTGCGACACTTCCAGTTCAAGCGCACGCCCCGCCACAGGTGGGCATGGCTTCGCGTGGGTCAGCAACACCTTGTTCCATGTCCTACCTATCCCAACTTTGACACGACCACTCCAGATTGTTCTTCTTCCAATTCCTGCACAACCAAACAAACGAACAAATAAGGGAAATTTATAAATAGTTGGAACAGTTGAGCAACGAGTGTGGGTT